ATTAATTGAACATATTCTTATTAAACAATTTTACATTAAGAACAAGTAAGAATCATATTTCTTCTCATTTGAAAGTCAAATCAGTGAGAAACCTTGTACAGTATTGTCTTCAATTGTAAATTCTTTGCAGGCAGCCATTTTTATTCAATTGAAAGTATTTTTACTAAATTATGTTCTTTTTAAATTATATTGTTTTTATCGTACTTTTGAAAAATAAAATTTAAAATGAAATTTAAAATGAAATTAAAAAGGAAATTTAAAATGAAACTAAAAAGGAAATTTAAAATGAAATTGAAATGAAATTTAAAATGAAATTTAAAATGAAATTTAAAATGAAATTTAAAATGAAATTTATAAAGAAATTTAAAACGTTCAAAATGAAATTTGAAAAATGAAAGTTGGAATCGAATTGAAATCGAATAAAGGAAACTGTCCAGGGGTTAATGCTTGTGATGACAAGCTCATGAATGCCTTCTGACTAACATCAGAGTTAAGTGGTGAGCAAACATTGAACAATGACTATTATACGGATTCCAATCTAACTATATGCTCCAGGAGAAGAAAGTATGAAGCTGTGATTTCATTTGCGGAAGACGTGAACTCAACGCACTTGGAATCTTAATAGTTTCCGTCACCGATTCGCCTCCCTTTTCCCTTGGTTACATCTCATTGTATCCGCTTAAAAATAAGTAGGCAGCAATTAAAGAATTTAACGAACTGTTATAAAAACATTCTTCTGTATTCGACCTTATCGTGGAAAAGCTAATAAAGGAAAAGCTAATAAAATAATATTAAGCGTTGGTTAATTGTGTTTCCTGAAATATCATCTGCTTCTGTGTGTGAAACGTCGACAATTATGAATCCAAAAATTTTAAATGAATCGTACTAACATTTTCAATGCAATTGTTCTAATACAATGCAATTACGTTTTTATGACAGTTTGTCTGATTCTGTATGTGAAATGTTAATAATCACGAATCCAGAAATTCTGAATGTGTCGTACTGATTCTTGGTAATGGTATCAAAGTTAATATGCTGATATAATCTGAATAAGAATTGTAATCAGAAAGCTGCAATAGATCATATTTGCATTCCAACAAATTTAAAGTAAGATTAGATCAAAGTATATATCTGACACTAATAATGGTTTCAACGTTTAAATGTAATTTTATTTTATTTTCTGAATAATCATGAATCTAGAAATTCTGAACGAATCATACTGATTCTTGTAATGATCTTAAAATTACTATGCTGATGTAATATCGATTAGAACAGCAACAAGAAATCTGAAATAGGTTATATTTGCTCTTCCAACAATTCTACAGTAAAATCAGATCAAAGTATATATTTGACACTAATAATAGTCTGAACGTTTAAATGTAATTTCATTCTATTTTCTGAAATTTCATTAACTTCTCTATATGA